GGGCACTGCAGGGAGCGGGCTGCAGGGAGGGACATGGAGCCAAGGGCGACTGGGAGCTGGGGCAGAGGGGCTGAGGTTCAGTCCTCCCGGAGCCCCGGGCCCTGACCGCTGCTGCATTACCTCCCCAGTGGGCGGCCTGCACCGGTTCCCCGCGGAGAGGAAGGTGGTGGGCAGAGCCTGGGCGCAGAGGGGCGCGGAGCCGGGACGGCAGCGTGGAGGCAGAGCGGGGTTCCACCTGGGCGTGACGCCGGCCGTGCTCCGCAAGAGATACAACATGACGGCCGGAGACGTCGGGCTGCTGCCCAACAACAGCCAGGCCTGCGCACAGGTACCTGCCGCAGCCGCGCTGGGGCGGTTCCACACGTGGGTCCTTCTCTAGCACTTTGCTGCCGTGGCGGGCCCAGCATGGCTGGGGGGGGTTCCCCTGGAGGTTCCCTGGGGACTGGCGGGAGCTCCCAGTGGGCTGGTATTTCAAAGACCCGTCCTGGGACAGCTTACTAAGTCAAGGGGAAAAAAAAACTTACCTTGTTTTTTCCAGATAAAAAGAGAAAAAAAACGTGTTCCCCCTTTGTCCCTGCAGTTCTTGGAGCAGTATTTCCACCAAGCCGACGTGGCTGAGTTCATGCAGCTCTTTGGCAGCAGCTTCGCGCACCGCTCTCAGGTTGACCAGGTGGTCGGGCACCAGGGCAAGGGCAAGGCCGGGCTGGAGGCCAGTCTGGATGTGGAGTACATCATGAGCACGGGCGCCAATATCTCCACGTGGGTGTTCAGCAATGCAGGTACCAGCTCTGCTCTGGCACAGCCCTGTGACTGCTCCTGTGCACCCCACTCATTGTCATAGAATCATAGAGTTGGAGCCGTTGGAGTTAGACAAGACCTTTCAGACCATGAAGGGGATAATAGGATCATGGAACTGTTTGGGTTAGAGGAGACCTTTAAGGTCATCAAGTCTAACCATTAACTAAGCATGTCCCCCTCCCCACTGACCCATGTCCTTCACCACCACATCTCCACAGTTTGGAAACCCCTCCAGGGATGGGGACTCCACCACTGCCCTGGGCAGCCTGGCACAGCCCTGGACAACCCTCAAGGGCAAGAAATTGTTCCTCAGGGCCAACCCCAACCTCCCCTGGTGCCATGTGAGGCCATTTCGTCTTGTCACACCACTCTGCTGCCTCCCAGTGAGGGCAGAGCAACTGGTTATGCCTTAGTGGGTTTTTCCTGCTGCTCTGGGGCTGGAGCTTATTGGTCACCCTGGAATCTACGTGTGGAGTGGGTGAAGGAGAGTGAGGCAGCGTGAGAAAACAGGGTGGCTGTGGTGCTGTAGGACAAGGTCTTGTCTGCCCCAGATCAGAAGCTGGCTGAGCGGGAGCTGCAGCACCTTGGGACACCCTGGGCGGTGTCCGTGGTGCGAGGGCAGGGACTGGCATGACCTGCCACCCCCTCGTCCCTGGGGTGCAGGGGTGGGGTGGTACCAGAGCAGCCAAGTGTGGCAGGGAGTTGCTGGCACAGAAGGGGACCATGGCAGGTGGAGGTGGAATGTATCCCAAACTGCTCTGGGATGGGTTGAGGGGCAGGGCTGAGTCTTGCAGGGGTGCGAGGCTGCCTGGGTGCCGAGGGTGCTTCAGCCTACAAGAGTGCTTGGAGGGGGACTGGATGAGCGCTGACCTTACCTCTGGGGTCAGGGCAACCCTTTCACCAGCCCTGCCAGCAGAGCTGGATGCTGGTGCCACTCACTATGATAGTCCCAGGATGAGGGCCACAAATGTGTTCCAAGGACTGGAACCCCTCTGCTGGGAGCCCAGCAGGAGAGAGTTGGGCTTGGGCAGCCTGCAGAGGAGAAGGCTCCAGCTGGGGAGACCTTCTGGGGGCCTGACAGGACTTCCAGGGGCCTGTCAGAAAGCTGGGGAGGGACTTTTGAGCAGGGCCTGTTGGGACAGGACAAGGGGGGATGGTTTGAAACTCAAAGAGGGAGACTGAGACTAGAGAGAAGGGAGAAATTATTTACAATGAGGGTGGTGAGCCGCTGGCCCAGGTTGCCTTGAGAGGTGGTCACTTCCCCATCCCTGGAACCATCCCAGGTGAGGTTGTCCTGCTGTAGTTGCAGATGTCCCTGCTCCCTGCAGAGGGCTGGACAAGAGATGACCTTGAAAAGTCCCTTCCACCCAAACCACTCTATAAGCTGAGCCAGAGCTGATGGGAGAGCCCCCGACCAGCCAAGCCGTGGATCTGCTCTGCAGGCTGGGCACGAGCTGGGGGACCTCCAGCTCCTGGTGCCCATGCTGCTGTTGACTGTTCCTTCATCCTGGTGCCCTGGGAGGAGCTGACCCTGCCCCGCTCTGTCCCTTCAGGGAGGCATGAGAGCCAGGAGCCCTTCCTGGCCTGGCTGCTGCTGCTCAGCAACATGTCCTCGCTGCCCTGGGTGCACTCGGTCAGCTACGGGGACGACGAGGACAGCCTGTCGCGGGCCTACATGGAGCGGGTCAACGTCGAGTTCATGAAGGCGGCTGCCCGGGGCCTGACCATCCTGTTTGCCTCCGGTGGGTCCGAGGGGATCCTCTGCACTGCACCCTGCTTGGAGCCGCTCAGCTCTGGGCAGCCGGGATCCGCTGCCTGGGGCTCCCAGCTGGGGAGTGGGGAGAGCCTGTCTTTGGGTGACATCTGGGATGTGGGGCCACTGGGTGCAGCTGGGTCACCCTGTCTGTCCATCTCTGCCGGCAGGTGACGATGGTGCTGGCTGCAGAAAGGTGCCCAGTGGGAACCACACCTTCCGGCCCAGCTTTCCAGCCTCCAGG